TGATGGGGTGTGGAAGAGCAGTGTCTGCATGCCCACAGCACTCAGTTCAGAGCGCAGAGAGGCCCAGCAGGGCTTCTTTTTCCTTCGGGATATCCTTAGGGATGCTTACATCCTCCAGAGTTTTCAATCAAGTCACCCCGAGCATTGCAAGCACCATGTATGCCTCACGTAGTGGTGACAGAGCAAAGCTTTGCGATCTGTCACAGGCAAGGCTGCTGACATGATCTGGTGATCCCTTCAGATCTCCGGTTACGTTTCGGCAAGTCACGTGCAACCCCTCCTCTCTGCTCCAAGCACCATCCTTGTTTCCTCAGCAATTGGTCAGAAACCATGTTGGCAAGTTCCTGAGCTCTGGATTACTGGGCTTGGGCCTTGCATGGGGACTTGCCCAGGCTGAGCCACACACGGGCCTTCCTGTGGTGTTCTGGCTGCTTTTGTAGGCCCTTGTGAGTGTGTTTATTATCCGTTTGATAGAAAATACCAACAGCACAGGCATTTTCACACACGTACTCTCTCACCAAGGAAAGATAAAAACACCACTAATGTGTCTTGTGAAGCTGCTTGAAAATGTACAAAAGGAGATGGTCTGAGCAGCAGTGGTCCTGTTTTTTGTCTGTTTTCCTTTGCCTCTGTGAGTTTCTGGGTTGCAACAAGCCTCTTGTGAAACGTCCTGACAGAGAAATGGTGAAAATTCCCCCATCTCCATGTGCTGTGGGGAATACCCCGGCTATGACTCTGTCTGTACATCGGATTCAAGTCCATGCATACTGCCTGGCACTGTGGGAGCTGCTCTAGCTTCTCCTCCTGCAGAAGGGCTGTTCTTGTGGCTGTACTGGTAACAGGGACGGGACTCTTGGTGGAGAAGTGATGCTGTGGCAGCGATAATGAACCAGCAAGAGAGAGTCAGTCCTGGGACTGCAGGTAACCATAAAGCCTTCCTTTCTGTCCTCCTCTAGGAGAAGGAGAAGGTGGGGGAAAATACGGGGCTGGGATATATAAAGGGCATGGTACCGTGGCTGGCTGTGTACCAGCAGAAAGACCCAGTGCCCATTCTCAGGGTAGAAACCATCTCTTCAAGGTGTCTGCCGCCACAGACACCGAGCTGGACTGTGAGTCCTTTGAGTAAGTGACCACTCGCTGTTGTGTAGAACAGGCTGGGGGACAGAGCCCAACTAAGAGTTCTGTTGCTGAGAGAAAGAAGCTCCAGAGAGAGGTGAGGAGGAGGGAGGTAGAGAAAGAGCATTCAGTGAAAGACAGGGGTAAGGGAGGGCAACCAGGAAGGTTTGCAGGGGAGAAAAGAGGCGTGACAGAAGAAGAAAAGTAGTGCAGCTTGGGAAGAGCGCAGCTATGGCTTGTGACATGAAGCAAGAGGGCAGTTTCCATGTTGCCCTACGCTGCAGGTGTGACCCACTGCCAGTGACAGACAGCATGAGCTGGTTACAGCGCCTGCGGGACCTGCCAGGCCTTGGGACAGGGTTATCAGCAGGCTGTCAGGGCACGCAGCCCCTTGGATTATCCTGCCCCCCGACTCTGGGCCGGGGATTTCCACTCTTGCCTTGTGTTTTTCAGCCCCAGCAGAAGGGAGCAGCTGTTCCCGCCTGAGCCCCTGGGTCTTCCTTGCTTCTGCCCTTGCCGTCAAAACTGCCCTTATGACCGTCGGCCTTGGTGGTTGCCAGGGTCCCTTTACTTCTGCGGGGAGGAAGGGAACGGGGCCTGAAGTTGCCTGGTGTCAGGTGGAAAAAGAAAACCCCAGCCTCTTTGCCAGCAGGCGACTGCCCTGCACCCAAACAGCCTGTTCTGCTGCCCCTTTCCCACGCTGCCTCTTAGCTGGGGAGCCGCGTCCCTTGCACAGTTAGCAGGTAGTGTCCTGGCAGGGCCTTCCCACAGCTCCTCTCACTTCCCAGCTGCCGAATCCAGCCAGTCCTGGGTGAAACCCATCAGTTCCTGCCCTCCCACTGCAACAGGGCCGAGAAGTCTCCTTAGTGCCAGACGACATCTGAGCAGGTTCCCCGAGGGCTGGCTGTTGGCTCTCAGTTCTCCTGGCCGCATTTGTGGTGTCCCTCAGAGCTCCTCGTGACCCTGTTGCAGCCGAGGAGCCAGCATGATCTCCCTGGACATCCTGCTACCAGGGCTGACCACGGTTGAGCAGAGTGAGGCGTAAATCCTCCAAAATGCTCCAACTGCATCCCACCCACAGCGCCTGGAACAAACAGAAGGGAAATATGTTGCGTGTAGTGTCCTGGAGTATCGTTACTGCTCTGCGATAACTCTCCTGTGGTGTTCAGCTCCCTTGGGTGAGGCCTCAGCACTCAGCAGTTCTTCCCCTCCTTGGCATGAGTGAAAAGGGTGCTCTAAAGCTGCAGAACACAGGCAGCTTAAGAGGGGATGCATATTGATATTCCACCTTTACTGGGATGGTCTCACAACTTCTTTGACCTTTTCCTGACCCCATCCTCTAAGGGTGTCTTAGCTGGGCTTTGTCGGCTGGGAAAATGAGTCTCAGCCAGCTGAGGTGAGGGAGGTTCATCTGATCAGTGTTTGCCCAAGGGAGGGAGTGACCCGTAGTGGGGAAAGCTGTCTGCTCTTTTCCTTCAGGATACAATTTTCAGAGCTTGTTGGTGTAACCGAGTCTCTGAGGGAGCTCTCAGCCAGAAGGTGGAGGGCAGGACAGCTTGCCCATGAGTGAGGATGAAAGGATGACAGTAGCGCCTTCCTTCTCTTTCCTCTCTTCCCAGTTGTTCTCTTTCACAGGAGCTGTGGCCAGTACAAGACTCTGCCCCAGAATTCTCCAGGGTGGCACTGCATCCCCAATGGATCTGCAAGCCAAAGTGAGTGATGCTAAGAGCCTTGGGAGTGACACTGAGCACGTCCCCCACGTTTATTCTGCTGTAAGTCAGCCTTTGAGTTTGGGAACGGGATTGTCAGCCAGAGCTGGATTGCCCTAGGGAAGGAAGATGGAGAGATGAGGAAAGGAAATGCTGTGTTTTCAAGTCTGACGTAGGATGCTCTGAAAACATGTCCTGGGCCAGTGGAAGGGGGTGGCTTGCTCCAGTTCTACCTTGTGACCACTCGTCCTATTCTCTGCCCACATATAGCCCCTCAGCTCCAGTCCAGTTCACAAATCTAGCCAAAAGCACTTCATCCTTTTGTAAGGGATGGCTCAAGCCTCTTATCTCCAGTGCCACGGTTTCTGTTTCTACAAATGTAATGGTAAACATTGATCTAATATAGAAGAACACAGGTAAATTAACATTTTTTTTCTGCTTCTTCTACTCCCTGGACTTTTCACTCTCTCGATTTGGTGCCAAGAAGGGAATCTGAGACAACTGCTTTGACCCTGATTAGATTTAAACTGTGTGAAATGAGCAGCTTTTCATTTCACAGAATCACAGAATTGTAGGGGTTGGGAGGTACATGAAGAGAGCATTGGGTTCAAACTCCCCTGCCAAAGCAGGTTCCCTAGAGCAGGTTGCCCAGGTAGTCATCCAGATGGGCCCTGAGTATCTCCGCAGTAAGGGACTCCGCAGCCTCATGCATGGAAGCTGGGAGCTTTTGAAGAGTGTGAGCCCTGAAGCCTGCATCTTCACTCTGCTGGGAGAGGATATGTGTGTGGAAGGGGCATGGTCAGATATATACCTGTAGGTACTGGAAGAACTAAGCACCTGCCCAGGCAGAAGCATTGGAGGCAGGCAGGTTCGTTGCTTTTCATGTGGTTCTTGCAGCACAAGAATTCTTTGCTTCTGGTTTTGGTTCCTCTGTGGTCTTGCTTTGGACCACAGCCTCCTGGGCCTCTCCTCCCTTCCCTGTTCCTTTCATTTTTCTGGCCCCATATCAGCAGCAGCTGGTTACAGCATTTGGCAGTCACACCTTGATTGCATAGATTAGCACAGGGAGCCCCGGGAGAGCTCCTGTGTGGGGAACCCAAGAAGACAGTCCCTGTGAGGTCTGGGATTCAGCTCTGCTCAGTGTACCAGAGTGTCTTTGTTGGTTGACTAGACTGGAAGGACTTGTTTGTTGGACATGTTCCATATTGAGCTATATTCTGTGTGTGATAGAAACAGCTTACAGATAGAGGTATATAACCTGAAAAAAGATAACCTCGTCCTTTAGAGAATGTGCCCATGCTTTTCAATCCATCGTGTGACTTTCTGCGTGTATGGCAAATTTCTAGGAAAACATGCACGGCTTGTGTAAGAAACTACCAGTGTTGGCAGTGAGGCTGCCAGCCTAGTTTACTGTGTATGTTTGTTCCTGTGTATGAGATGAGAGCTAATCACTTGGACAATGCTTTTCTCATGTCAGTGTCCCCAGAGGAGTATTGCCAGCTACTTCCTATCTGACTTCCTCAGGAACAGTGAGGCAGAAAGTGCCTCTCCCCAGTGAGAGCTTGAATGGGCACGATAGAACAAGGGAAAAAGCTCTTCAAGCAGGGGCCCCGTGACAGCAATCTGTCAGGGTGTCAATGGTGCTCTTTGTGGAGCACAAAAGAGAGCATTTACCGCAGTCCAAAAAGAAATGTACAGTTCAAACCCCTTCCCTGATACTTGGGGTTCTGCGCTGAGCTCACTGAGAAGAGGCACAGCGCATCTTGTCCAACACAGGCTCTTCTTCCCCTACAGAGGACAGCTGGAAGTGCTGTCCAGAGGGCTGGAGACCCTTTCAGGAAGGCTGCTATTACTTCTCAGATGATCAGATGCCCTGGGATGAGAGCAAGAAGAACTGCAGTGGGATGGACTCCCAGCTGGTGGTGATCAATACAGAAGCAGAGCAGGTAAGTGCAGGGCTGGGAGAGGGGCAGAGCAGCCTGGAGACAGGAGTGCCAGGCCTGGAGGGGCCTCAGAGCCCCTCCTGGCTCCTGCAGTGGAGGGGGGATGTCCTTGCTGCATGCACTCAGCACTGGCTCCTGTCTGACACCAGCTCCACCCCACTGGGACTCCTGCCACCTCTCACTGTTCAATTTTGTTACTCATGTAGATTTTTTTTTTTTTTTTTTTTTCTAGGAGTTCCTCTTCAGCTCAGTGAAAGGACTAGTTACTAACACCTATGAAACAAAATATTACATGGGCCTGTCTGCTCACAAAACTGGGAAATGGCAATGGGTGGATCGGACTCCATATAAGAAGATGGCCACGTGAGTATGCCGAGAGAGTGAGGAAAGTCCTGCAACTCACACCACTTCGTCTAATGGACCAACACACAGTGTAAGGCAAGGGCTGTGTCATTGAGGGGTGTCTGTCCCTAACTGCCCTGAAAAGTCACGGAGACACAAATATTTTCCTTTGCCTTTCCCGATCTGTCACATTTTTGTTCACTTTTGTTTTGCACAACCGTTTGAGATGACTTCACCCCAACTGTCAGGCAGGCCAATGCATTCTCAATAGGGGAACTTTCTTTTACAGGTTCTGGAAACCTGGAGAACCCAATTTGCTCTTTGCAGAAAAATGCGCTGCAATTCATGTCAAGGGAAACACGGACTCCAACACATACAGTAACTGGAACAACATCCTTTGCTCTACAAGTTGCTACAGAATTTGTGAATTGGCAGTCAAATTTGTCTGAGGGAGGTGTCCTGGTTTTGGTTGGGATGATGTTAATTTTCTTCACTGTAGCTGGTATTGTAGTGGAACAAACTGTCCCTTGGAAATGAAAGGTATCGTCTAAGTTTATTTAAGGATCCCTATAATCAACAATCATTTATGTAGCACAGGACAAAAAATAATCTATGTTCAATGTTTAACTTAGCGTCCATTTGATCAGGGACAAATTGCTCTTTCTCGAAGGAAGAATGGAAAGGAGGCAACAGAATGCAGCCTTAAATTGTCCTTAGGTGATGTGACCACATATGGATGAAAAGGGTTAGGGAAGACCACTGAAGACCACCAAGGGCCCCCAAAGAAAAATGTATGAGCAGAAGGGTCTGAAAAGGTGGCAAGAAGAATGATGCCACAGGATTATGGAAGTCATGTAGATTAGTATTAATATGTATTAAATAGAGAGAATATGCATGAATTTACTGTAGCAAAGAAACCAGCAGTGGGCGTGCTTGAGTTATGGAAAATCTATCAAGTACCCAGGCCTGAATAAAAGCAATATCTCTCCTGACTGTGTGAGAATTGATTTGTTGCACACCAGGTAAAGGATCCACGTTTTTGGAATTACAGTATTGTGACATATTTTGGATTCAGGAGGAAAATAATGTTGACAACAAACTGAGTAGTTGCTGAGCAGTGCTTACACAGAGTCTTCTGTTTCTCATGCTGCCTGGCTAGCAAAGAGGCTGGGGGGTTACAAGATGCTGGGAGAGGACACAACTAGGACAGCTGACCCGAATGGACAAAAGGAATGTTCCATGCCATATAACATCGTGCCCAACAATAAAAGCTGGTGCAGTTGGCCAGGAATGGGAGGACTGCCATTGTTCAAGGACTCGCTGGGCATTGGTCAGGTAGGAGTGAGCAATTGTGTTGTGTGTCACTTGCGTTCTCTATTTCTTTCCCTCTCCCTTCCTATCTCTCCCCATCTCTCTCCCTTCCTCCCAATCTCCCTCTTTTCCTTTGTCTCCCCCTCACCCTCTCTCGAGCTCTTTCTTACTTTCTTCTGCTTTCTCTTTCTTGCACTTTCATGGAACAGATCCTCCTGGAAGATATGTAAAGGCATATGAAAGACAGGAAGGTGATTAGAGACAACTCATATTGCTTCACCAAGGACACATTGTGCCTGATTAATCTAGTGGTCTCCTATGATGGGGTGACTGTATTGGTGGATAATGATTGATGTCATCTACCTGAACTTCTGTAAGGCCATTGGCACAGTTCCACACAACGTCTTTGTCAATTGAAGAAAGATGGATTTGATGGACTATTCAGGGGATGAGGAGTTGGCAGGATGGTTGCATTCAAAGAGTAGCAATCAGTGACTCAATGTCCAAATGGAAACATCAAGCTCACAATCCAGGACTTCATGAGAGCAGACTTTGGCCTTTTCAAGGATCTGCTTGGTAGAGTACCATGGAATAAAGCCCTGGAGGGAAGAGAGGCCAAGAAAGCTGGTTAATACTCAAGGATCAGCTCCTCCAAGCTCAGGAATGATGCATGCCAATGAAGAGGAGGCCAGGCAAAAACAGCAGAAGGCCTGCATGGATGAACAAGGAGATCTTGGCCAAACTCAGACATAAAAAGGAAGCCTACAGACAGTTGAAACGAGGACAGATAGCCAGGTAGGATACAATGTCCAAGCAGCCAGGGATAAAGTTAGGAAAGCTAAAGCCCAGATAAAACTGCATATGGCAAGGACATCAAGGGCAAGAAGGGCTTTTACAATTACCTAGTGACAAAAGGAAGACTAGGAAAAATGTGAGCCCTCTCCTGAAGGAAATGGGAGACTTGGTTAGATGGGACAGTGAAAAGGCCAAGGTACTGAATGCATTCTTTGCCACAGACTTTACCAGCAAAACTGGCCTTCAGGAATCCCAGGTTCCAGAGGCCGGGTTCAATAGCTGGAACAAGGATGATGTATCTTTTGTGGGAGGGGATTGGGTCAAGGAATATGTGAACAAACTGGACATTTGCAAGTCCATGGACCATGATGGCATGCACCCATGAGTGCTGAGGGAGCCAGCAGATGTGATTGTGAGGCCACTCTATAATCTTTGCTCAATCATGGCAAGTGGGAGAACTGCCCAAAGACTGGAGAAAGGCAAATATCATCACTATGCTCAAATAGGGCAAGAAGTAGGACCCAGAGAACTACAGGCCAGTCAACCTGACCTCAGTCACTGGGAAGGTGATAGAACAGCTAATCCTGGAAAACATTGCCAGGCACATGAAGTGAGAGACAATCATCAGGAGTAGTGAGCATGGACCTACCAAAGGGAAATCATGCCTGACCAACTAAGTTAAACGGTCGACCCCCGGCAACCACTACCAGAAAACATTGTGCAAGCGTGGATGGAAGGAAAAATGACTCCCTGGAACTAATTTTAATCCTAAGTGGGGATAGGTCATGCGTATGTATAGGCTTCTCAAGAAACTTCATGCATACGTAACTCTTCACCACATATAACCAAGGCAAGTGCCACGTTGGGGTGCGCACGACTTTGGTGGGACTACCCCCTGTGCCACCCAGCGCTGAATAAACATACCTACTTTACAGTCTTACTGATTGTGGAGTTTGCTTTCCGCATGTTTACCTATACCAGCTATTCCAGCTCTTGCAGGACACATTTTAATTGGGCACTTTCTGAAAACATAACACAGTATTGTTCCTTTCCCATTCTTGATTTCCTCTTTCCTCAGTGATGCCTGGCATTTTCTTTCTGTCTCTTGCCAAGTAATCAATCAATGGATACAGTCTATCTTTCCTGAGGAAAATCAGAGGCAAATTCATGTTTGAATGAAGACAGATTTTTTTCTGCAGTCAGACTGTTTCTCAGCTACAGTGCATATAGCTGTAGAACTGAATGTCATTGTGACTCTTTCCCCATTCTCAAATTTGAGCTCCTTTCCAAAAGAGAAGGGAATATGCCAGCATCCAGGCCTTGTCCTCACAGGCAGTTGGGATGTGGCCAAGATGCTCACCTGAAAACAGGACTGCAGATACTATCATGAAGTATACTGATCATCACTTTTTTGCCTTTTCCAGTTTCTGTGGAAATACGTAATGGGATACTCCATTCCTGTTTTGCAAGGCTCTATAGAGGGAGAGAGTGGGGGATTCCATGTAGGTTTCAGCAGCTCTTTAGGAATCCAAAAATCTGCTCAGAGGAAATAATATGGGGTAAACATATTGAACATTTGAATATCTATTGTAAATATCTATAAATATATGAATTCCCAAACTCTTAGGGAGACTTATTACATCAATGATTGATACATCAGATTTCACAAATACAGACTCTATCTCCTCTTACATCAGCTATCAAATACGAGCCTTTGTCCTTCACTCTGCAGAGTGTATTATCCTGTGGCAGAGGGAAAGTGGTAGATTGTTAATAGGCTAAATTAATCCATGAAGAATTGTTTGTTAGTCATTGAGCTGAGATACAAAATTTGAATGCAAAATTATTCTTCTCATCCATGTCAGATGTTGCTGGCTAAAATGTAGGTAGTGCTGAGCTTAGTAGTTCAAGATGAAGTTGCAAAACAGGTCTGCATCTGTGTTTCCTTGCCTTTATCTAAAGTGAAGCAACGTGTTCTCTTGTGAACCTCTTATCTCTTTGGCAATGTAAATGCTGAACAGGGTTGTTCAATCACCAACTGCATGAAGTTTAACAAGAACAAGTGCTGGGTCCTGCACCTGGGACAGTGCAACTCTGGCCATATGTACAGACTGGGTGACAAGACGCTGGAGAGCAGCCCTGCAGAGAGGGATCTGGGGGTTGTGGTTGACAGCAAGTTGAACATGAGCCAGCAGTGTGCCCTGGCAGCCAGGAGGGCCAACCTTATCCTGGGGTGCATCAAGCATCAAGTTGTTCGAGGGAGGTGATTGTCCTGCTCTACTCTGCGCTGGTGTGGCCTCACCTCGAGTACTGTGTGCAGTTCTGGGCACCACAGTACAAAAAGGACATTAAACTGTTGGAGAGTGTCCAGAGGAGGGCGAAAAAGATGGTGAAGGGCCTGGAGGGGAAGACGTATGAGGAGTGGCTGAGGGCATTTGGCCTGTTCAACCTGGAGAAGGAGGGTGAGGGGGGACCTCATCGCGGTCTACAACTTCCTCGCGAGGGGGAGTGGAGAGGCAGGTGACCTATTCTCTGAAAACACCAGTGATAGGACCCATGGGAATGGTGTTAAGCTGAGGCAGGGGAAGTTTAGGCTTGACATCAGGAAGAGGTTCTTCACCGAGAGGGTGGTCGCACAATGGAACAGGCTTCTCACTGAAGTAGTCACTGCACCAAGCCTGTCTGAATTTAAGAAGAGATTGGACTGTGCACTTAGTCACATGGTCTGAACTTTTGGGCAGACCTGTGCAGTGCCAGGAATTGGACTTGATGATCCTTATGGGTCCCTTCCAACTTGGGATATTCTATGATTCTATGATTGTTTTCTTCTGAGAAAGTTTTGTGACAGCTTTTAGTCCTTCAAGTGCTCTAAGTATTGCAGAGCCTCTCCATTGACAGGATCTGCACCTCATACCATGACCTGAATGGAAGTCAGTCCGGTGCTGCACAACCCGGTGTTCCCAACATCTGATGGGATGTAAGATTATCTGTATTATGCTCTTTTTTTTTTCATTCTAATTAGTGAAATAAATGATACATCTGGGAGAACATTCAGGTGGGAGACAAGACGGGTACACATATGCACAGTGTACAGTCTCAATCTTCTCGTAATGTGAGCACAATGAAAGGGATGTAGCAAGACCTCCTATTGCATGTAGACAAAATACTATACCATGTCTTGCTGGGATGGAGTTAACTTTCCCTCTAGCAGCTCCTATAGTGCTGTGCTCTGTACCCGTAGCTAGAACAGCATTGGTATCACACCAATGTTTTGTCTATTGCTAAGCAGGGCTGGCACAGTATCAAGACCGTCTCTCCAATCCCACCCACCTCCAACCCCAGCATACCAAAAGCCAGTAGGCCGGGGAAGAGGGGAAGAGGTGGACAGAGGACATCACAAGGGCAGTTGACCTAAATTGACCAAAGGGATAAAAAGGATATTCCATGCCATATGACATTGTACTCAGAAACAAAAACTGAGGAAGGGGAAGGAGGGGTGTTCATTATGAAAACGCCAACCCTAAACAACCACTACATACATTGAGGCCCTGCTTCCCAAGATACTACCAAATGTTTGTTGCTGATGGGAAGTAGAGAATGTTTTTTTTCTTCCTTTGCTTCTGCATTATCTTTGTTTTTTATTATTATGACCTTTGCTTTTTATTATTATTATTATTTTCCTTTAATTAATTAAATTGTCCTCCTCTCAACTTGTAGGCTTTTTTCTTTTAAATCTCCCTTTTTTTTCTGTCCCTGTTCTTTTGAGGAGTGAGAGTAAGAGAGTAGTGTGGTGGACTTCAGCTAGCTGTCAGTGTGAAACCACCACACATACCCAACTTCAAATGCAGCCAGCCTGTAAGCCCTGTTGCCACTGTTTTTTCCTCTTCCATATCCCCAAAACAAATGGTCTGATTGAAGATGATGACTGAGGAAAGACACATGACTGGGAGACTAAAAAGAGTTGAGTGCAAACAGCTGAAAGATTAGAAAATACAAAACAAAGAGCTGTGCAGAGCAGAGAGGGACTTTTTGGTAAACAATCTCACAGTTATCAGATAAGGCCTCTACCAAGAACTACAGGACCTCAGGGTGTTATGTTGCTCAATTTCAACATTTTATGCCCTTGCCGTCACACTACACTTGAAGGACCCGGGGGTGTTTTCATACCTCTGCACTCTCCTGTTACATGGTCTCCCATATCAGATCATTTATGTCTTATAAAAAAGGATGTGGTTTCTTTTGACATCATTTCATGTGAAAGCAAGTGAAGTTCATTTTGTGAAATGGGAATGTGACCATAAGTACAGTGTCCTGTGTCTTACAGCTTTGTTAAATTCCCTGCTTACAAGCCACATTTCTCACACCCAATTCAACACCCCCCACACCCTCCCCAAGGCCTTGTGCTAGATATGACACCAGCCCAGGGTGGGATTTAGCGGTTACTACAATGCCTCCTGATGCTTTTTGGCACATCCTATAGCTTGTTGCTGCGACATAGGCCTCTTCAACAAAAATGAGCCTGGGACTATCAGTAATACAGAGCGTGACTGAGATGTGGTCCCTGGTCATTTCTGCTGGCAGCCTGTGGGAGCAGCCCATCACAGAAGACCAGTGCTGGGCAGCTAGGGAGCAAGTAGAAGGGCAGTCCTAATGTTAGACAGCTGAGTACCGAGTCCAACCATGCCTAAACTCCAGATACTGCTACTGGGCTGAACTACTCAAAGGTATTGTCTTGAGGACACACGGCTGAAACTCTTACTCAGAGTTTCACAACTTATCCATCAAGACTGGCTGCATGAAGCAGAGATAGGGACAAATGCCTATGTCTACCTTCATTTAATGTATCATACAACCAATGCAAGAGAATGGCTTTGTGCCTGTCGTACGTGCATATGTAATCAGGAAGATGGGATCAGGAGATTCTCTTCTATGCTTCTGCAAGAGAAACCAGTGTAATTTCAAAAACCTCTCATATCAGGACATCTCAAGAAAGCTTTACATTGTAACCAATAAATACATATATAGTTGGTGGTCTTCAGTGGTCTTCCCTGATGAAGTACCCTAACCCTTTTTATCCATATGTGGTCACATCACCTAAGGACAACTTCAGGCTACTTTCTGTTGCCTCCTTTCCATTCTTTCTTCCAGAAAGAGCATTTTGCCCCTGATCAAACAGAGTCTAGATTAAACATTGAATATAGATTATTTTTTGTCCTGTGCTACATAAATGATTGTTGATTATAGGGATCCTTAAATAAACTTAGACAATACCTCTTCTTTTTCAAGGGACAGTTTGTTCCACTACAATACCAGCTACAGTGAAGAAAATTAACTTCATCCCAACCAAAACCAGGACACCTCCCTCAGACAAATTTGACTGACAATTCACAAATTCGGTAGCAACTTGTAGAGCAAAGGATGTTGTTCCAGTTACTGTATGTGTTGGAGTCCGTGCTTCCCTTGACATGAATTGCAGCACATTTTTCTGCAAAGAGCAAATTGGGTTCTCCAGGTTTCCAGAACCTGTAAAAGAAAGTTCTCCTATTGAGAATGCATTGGCCTGCCTGACAGTTGGGGTGAAGTCATCTCAAACGGTTGTGCAAAACAAAAGTGAACAAAAATGTGACAGATCGGGAAAGGCAAAGGAAAATATTTGTGTCTCCGTGACTTTTCAGGGCAGTTAGGGACAGACACCCCTCAATGACACAGCCCTTGCCTTGCACTGTGCATTGGTCACTTGGACGAAGTGGTGTGAGTTGCAGGACTTTCCTCACTCGCTTGGGATACTCACGTGGCCATCTTCTTATATGGAGTCCGATCCACCTATTGCCATTGCCCAGTATTGTGAGCAGACAGGCCCATGTAATATTTTGTTTCATAGGTGTTAGAAACAATACGTTAGTTAGTAAACGTACACGCTGTGTGAATGTGTGCAGCTGTGCCTGTTTGGTGTACACACTCAGCCTCACTACAGCTTGGACCTAGGGACATGGCAATGCAGCTGCCTTGCATCTGCTGGGCTATGGCATTCGGCAGCTTCTGCCACCACCCACACAACGACTCCCATGGATGGGTTTAGGAAGCCAACTCTCCTGGTCAGCCACCTTTTCTCCAGTACACATTCTCCCCTGCACTGGGACACAGAGGGACGGCTCACGTTATAGGTAGGACAGAAGAACACAGCCAGGAGATGCACATCGGCGCTGCCTGGGGAACTGGCACGGGTTGTTTGGGAGCACCGAGGCAGATGATGCTTCCCGAGGCAAACAGAGGTGGGGGCATAGGGACCAGGAAACAGAAAGGGGTGGAGAAGGATGGGAGCCACAGGGGCACACGGTCTGCAGCAAGACTCGGGTGGAAGTGAAGGCAATATGCATTGAACTTCTGGAGGGGCCCTCACGGGCAGCAACCGCCCTGCCTCTCCCTGCCTCTACTCCAGCATCGTCCAGCCTGGGCAGGTGTGCCCTGACAGGGCCCACTGAGGTGCCAGCCTCCCAGGACGCCCACTGCATCTGTTGAGTCCAGGATTAGCTCTGAGGTGGGAAAGGAGACCAAAGGACCTAATAATTTTGCTGCTGGGGCCACGTCCTCATACCTGGTCAACCATGTGCAGGCTAGACTCCTGGCACACACTCCTGTTTCTCTCTCAGGTAAGACTTTCAGCATGGCAACATATGAAAACCCCACAGCTGGTTTCCTGTGCCCGGTCCCTCCCAGAGCCCTGGCTGTGTGCGACAGGACCGTTACACACAGGTTATCTCTGAAGAGTTAAGACTCACTGGGTGTATGCAACTTCTACCGCAGTAGTCATCTCTGGCTCTTTGCTGGCACAGCAACAGGCTTGGTATGAAGCACGTGAATGTGCAAAATACCTCAGCTTAGAGAGGGAAAGGGAAAGAGAGAGAGGGGGAGTGAGCCCAGAGCCTTTTTTATCGGTGTAATATTGTATTTTCTGCTTCACAGGAAATCAGTATTTGTTCAGCAAAACCAATGCTGAACAGGACTCTCTATGACCCAGCAAGAAGCAGACACCTCTTCTCAAGGAGAGAAAGGGAACAGCAGCTCTGAGCATCCTTCTTGCATTCCTGCATCTTCCTCCTTAAGAGAGCTCCAGCTCTTTCCAGCCAGCAGCTGCCAGACCCACACAGAGAGAAGAGGATGACTGACAGAAGAGCCCAGGAACTGCTTTGATGACCCTGAACCCTCCTGTGTCAGTCCCATGGAGGCAATGGCTTGGAAAGAAAGGCATTAACCCATTTCCCATAGAGACATAACTTCACCTGCCATGCTTGCCTGGAGCTTCCATTGCCAAATCTGTCATCAATGACTATGGGATGGGATGGTCAGCCTGAGAAAGCACAGGCAGAGTTCTTCTAGCATTTATTGTTTCCACTTCAGGGGTACTTTGAGAAATACACATGCATAGGGGATGCTGGGTGCAGAGCAACATCACTCCCAGTCTCACCATCCCACCCAGCAGAGGGAAGATAAAGGCTCCAAGGCTCTCCTACCCCTCCCAACACAGCCCTCTGCTGTTCCCAGTTCGCTGCTAATCTCAGGATGAGGATTCCTCCATCATAGAGTTTCTGCTGCAGTCTCACAAATCCAATAAGAGTCGATTGTGCATGGGACATTATTCCAGTTCCGGAAAACATCTTTCTGGTAATGGATTACAACACAGAACTCATCACTTGGTTGATCACTTGGCTCCCCACGCCTCCAGAACCTGAGAGAGAGACAGACATGTTACTCCCTGTGCACCCTGCAAGCACCTTGCTGGAAGAGGCCACGCCTGGAACACAAGGCTTGGAGGGGAGACACTCCAGATGCAGTTTGATGGACAGAAGTCGTACCCTTCCTCGCACTCTGCTAATCCCACTGGCAGCAGTCTTACATGCAAACCTGACTTCTTCCTAGAACCAACACAGCAGGGAGCTGTTCAGTCCTGGTGGGCAGAGCTGCTCACCACAGCTCACCCCAGGCACTTCACAGCCAGCAGGGGATGCGTCTCTTCCAGAAGAAACATCTGCAAGCCAAGCCCTGGTGATCTCTCCAGCACCCCATCGCTTCTGCAGCATGACAGCACTGGCCCAGCATGTGCCTACACCTGCACACCTACAGGCACATAGACCATGTGCCTACACCTGCACACATACAGGGACATAGACCATGTGCCTAAACCTGCATACATGCGTGATGGGGCAGTATGGAGGTCAGGCAATGCTTGTCCTGTATGACGGACTCTTTCTCCTCACAAAATGCAGCTTCTTCTCTGCCTACAGCACCGATGGCCATGTCACAGATAATTTATTGCTAACCACTAACCAGCATGGATGGATCTCTAGGAACCTGGTATCCTACAAAGCCCTTGCTGGCTCCATCATTGTCCTCTCACAGACAGCCATGGCATATCCCTCCCATGCTCATCAGACACCCTCACATCTCTTCCACCCTCTTGCCACACCAAACCCTCTCCGTCATGGGATACTCACGCTGCTGTTTCATTATAGGGAGTCTGGTCTGCCCAGCGCCACTGGCCCGCCTCTTGTGCCCTCAGACCGATGTATAAATTGATTCCTTCTTCTTGGTATTTCATCTGTCTTCTTATTTCCTTATAGAGGAAATCCTAGAAATGAGGGAGAGTACAACGTCCATGAGGTTCAGGACTGAACAGAGGGAGGTGGCAGGTGTCCCAGTGGGGTGGAGCTGGTGTCAGACTGGAGCCAGTGCTGAGTGCATGCAGCAAGGACATCCCCCCTCCACTGCAGGAGCCAGGAGGGGCTCTGAGGCCCCTCCAGGCCTGGCACTCCTGTCTCCAGGCTGCTCTGCCCCTCTCCCAGCCCTGCACTTACCTGCTCTGCTTCTGTATTGATCACCACCAGATGGGAGCCCATCCCACTGCAGTTCTGCTGGCTCTCATTCCAGGGCATCTGATCACCCGAGAAGTAATAGCAGCTTTCCTGAAAGGGTCTCCAGCCCTCTGGACAGCACTTCCAGCTGTCCTCTGTAGGGGAAGAAGAGCCTGTGTTGGACAAGATGTGCTGTGCCTCTTCTCAGTGAGCTCAGCACAGAACCCCAAGTATCAGGGAAGGGGTTTGAACTGCACCTCTTTTCTGGACTGCGGTAAATGCTCTCTTTTGTGCTCCACAAACAGCACCATTGACACCCTGACAGATTGCTGTCACGGAGCCCCTGCTTGAAGAGCTTTTTCCCTTGTTCTATCGTGCCCATTCAAGCTCTCACTGGGGAGAGGCACTTTCTGCCTTACCGTTCCTGAGGAAGTGAGATGGGAAGTAGCTGGCAACACTCCTCTGGGGACATGACATCAGAAAAGCATTGTCCAAGTGATTAGCTCTCATCTCATTCACAGGAACAAACATACACAGTAAACTAGTCTGGCAGCCTCACTGCCAACACTGGTAGTTTCTTACACAAGCCGTGCATGTTTTCCTAGAAATTTGCCATACATGCAGAAAGTCTCATGATGGGTCGAAAAGCATGGGCACGTTCTCTTAAGCATGAGGTTATCTTTTTTCAGGTTATATATACCTCTATCTGTAAGCTGTTTCTATCACACACAGAATATAGCTCTATATGGAACATGTCCAACAAACAAATCCTTCCAGTCTAGTCAACCAACAAAGACACTCTGGTACACTGAGCAGAGCTGAAGATGCTTGCCCTGAATCCCAGACCTCACAGGGACTGTCTTCTTGGGTTCCCCACACAGGAGCTGTACTTACACCAGGCTGACTTACACCAGAATAAATGTGGGGGACGTGCTCAGTGTCACTCCCAAGGTTCTTAGTATCACTCACTTTCACTTACAGATCCATTGGGGATGCAGTGCCACTCCGAAGCATTCTGGGGCAGAGTCTTGCACTGGCCACAGCTCATGTGAAAGAGAACAACTGGGAAGAGAGGAAAGAGAAGGAAGGCGCTACTGTCATCCTTTCATCCTCATTCATGGGCAAGTTGTCCTGCCCTCCACCTTCTGGCTGAGAGCTCCCTCAGAGACTTGGTTATACCAGCAAGCTCTGAAAATTGCATCCTGAAGGAAAAGAGCAGACAGCTTTCCCCACTACGGGTCACTCCCTCCCTTGGGCAAACACTGATCAGATGAGCCCCCCTCACCTCAACTGGCTGAGACTCATTTTCCCAGTTGACAAAGCCCAGCTAAGACACCCTTAGAGGATGGGGTCAGGAAAAGGTCAAAGAAGTTGTGAGACCATCCTAGTAAAGGTGGAATATCAATATGCATTCCCTCTTAATCTGCCTGTGATCTGCAGCTTTAGAGCACCCTTTGCACGCATACCAAGGAGGGGAAGAACTGCTGAGTGCTGAGGCCTCACCCAAGGGAGCTGAACACCACAGGAGAGTTATCGCAGAGCAGTAACGATACTCCAGGACACTACACGCGACATATTTCCCTTCTGTTTGTTCCAGGCGTTGTGGGTGGGATGCAGCTGGAGCATTTTGGAGGATTTACGCCTCACTCTGCTCAACCGTGGTCAGCCCTGGTAGCAGGATGTCCAGGGAGATCATGCTGGCTCCTCGGCTGCAACAGGGTCACGAGGAGCTCTGAGGGACACCACAAATGCGGCCAGGAGAACTGAGAGCCAACAGCCAGCCCTCGGGGAACCTGCTCAGATGTCGTCTGGCACTAAGGAGACTTCTCGGCCCTGTTGCAGTGGGAGGGCAGGAACTGATGGGTTTCACCCAGGACTGGCTGGATTCGGCAGCTGGGAAGTGAGAGGAGCTGTGGGAAGGCCCTGCCAGGACACTACCTGCTAACTGTGCAAGGGACGCGGCTCCCCAGCTAAGAGGCAGCGTGGGAAAGGGGCAGCAGAACAGGCTGTTTGGGTGCAGGGCAGTCGCCTGCTGGCAAAGAGGCTGGGGTTTTCTTTTTCCACCTGACACCAGGCAACTTCAGGCCCCGCTCCCTTCCTCCCCGCGGAAGTAAAGGGACCCTGGCACCCACCGAGGCCGACGGTCATAAGGGCAGTTTTGACGGCAAGGGCAGAAACGAGCAAGACCCAGGGGCTCAGGCGGGAACAGCTGCTCCCTTCTGCTGGGGCTGAAAAACACAAGGCAAGAGTGGAAATCCCCGGCCCAGAGTCGGGGGGCAGGATAATCCAAGGGGCTGCGTGCCCTGACAGCCTGCTGATAACCCTGTCCCACAGCCTGGCAGGTCCCACGGGCACTGGAACCAGCTCGTGCTGTCTGTCACTGGCAGTGGGTCACACCTGCAGCGTAGGGCAACACGGGGACTGCCCTCTTGCTTCATGTCAAAAGCCATGACTGTGCTCTTCCCAAGCTGCACTACTTTTCTTCTCCCGTCGCACCTCTTTTCTCCCCTGCACACCTTCCTGGTTGCCCTCCCTTCCCCCTGTGTTTCACTGAATGCTCTTTCTCTACCTCCCTCTGTACTGGGTCTGGCTGGGATGTTCACTTTCCCTGCAGCAGCCCATACAGTGCTGTGCTCTCCACTTGTAGCTGGAACAGCAGTGGTATCACATGAGTGTTGTGTCTGCTGCTGAGCAGTGCTGGCACAGCATCGGGCCTCTCTCTAACCCTCCTAGGGGTGGGCAAAAAAGTGGGAAGAGAAACATCACCAGGGCAGCTGACCTAAACCAACCAAAGGGATATTCCATACCATATGATGTCACACTCAGCAATAAAAGGTGGAAACAGCAAGAAGAAGGGAGGGCTGGGCTCTCGTTGTGAAAATGTCGGTCCTCCTCCCAAACACCGGTTACGTGCGTTGAGGCCCTGCTTCAAGGACGTGGTCAAGCATCGCTCATTTGTGGGAAGTAGAGAGTAATTTCTTTCCTCTGCACTTCCACACAGCCTTCATTAGTTTTATTTGTTTGTTTTCCTCCCTTTTTTTCCTTTCCACCTCCCTTTTCCCCTTTCCTTCTTTTTTTCATTTTAGTTAAATTGTTTACTTCATAATAATCTTTCTTTAATTATTATTATTATTATTTCCCTTCAATTAAATTATCCTTATCTCAACCTGTGAGTTGTTCTTTGCTTTACTTCTTCCCCTCCTCATCAAAGGAGGGGGAGTGAGAGAGCGGTGGTGTTTAGCTGCCCAGCACAGTAAAACCACCACACCCTCCCCCTCACCTCTCTTTGGAGCATCTTTCTCTCAGCTACCCAACTCTTAGTTGGGCTCTGTCCCCCAGCCTCTTTTACACAACAGCGAGTAGTCACTTACTCAAAGGACTGACAGTCCAGCTCAGTGTCTGGCAGCAGACACGCTGAAGAGATGGTTTCTACCCTGAGAATGGGCACTGGGTCTTTCTCCTGGTACACAGCCAGCCACGGTACCATGCCCTTTATATATCCCAGCCCCGTATTTTCCCCACCTTCTCCTTCTCCTAGAGGAGGGCAGAAAGGAAGGCTTTATGGTTACCTGCAGTCCCAGGACTGACTCTCTCTTGCTGGTTCATTATTGCTGCCACAGCATCACTTCTCCACCAAGAGTCCGTCCACGTTCTCGGTACGGCTACAAGCACAGCCCTGCTGCAGGAGGAGAAGCTAGGGCAGCTCCCACAGTGCCAGGCAGTCTGCACGGACTCTAATCTGATGTACAGACAGAGTCATAGCCGGGGTATTCCCCACAGCACATAGAGATAGGTGAATTTTCATCATTTCTGTATCAGAACATTTCATAAGAGGCTTGTTGCAACCCAGAAATTCACAGAGGCAAAGGAGAACAGACAAAGAACTAAACCACTGCTGCTCAGACCATATCCTTCTGTACATTTTCAAGCAGCTTCCCAAGACACATTAGTGGTGTTTTTATCCTTCCCTGGTGAGAGAGAACGTGTGTGAAAATGCCTGTGCTGTTGATATATGCTAGCAAAGAAAATTAAATAATAATAAACACACTCACAAGGGCACGTGACTTGCCAACATGGAGCCAGAGATCAGAAGGGATCACCAGATCATGTCAGCATCCCTGCCTGTGACAGATCAAGAAACTTTACTCTGTCACCACTATGTGAGGCACACATGGTGCTTGTAGCACTGCTCAGGGTGACTTGATTGAAAACTCTGGAGGATGTAAGCATCCCTAAGGATATCCCGAAGGAAAAAGAAGCCCTGCTGGGCCTCTCTGCGCTCTGAACTGAGTGCTGTGGGCATGCAGACACTGCTCTTCCACACCCCATCAGTTAGCTTTCTCCCTGTGAAGAGGCAGGCATGCAGGTACTGAGGAAGAAATGGGATAGCTAACAACATGAGCATCCAAGGCTCAGAAGGGCAGGGCACACAGTTGTTGACAAATGAGGATAAACCTAAACCGTGTGTAGAAATGTGCACAAAAGGCTCAGACCACGCCAACAGTGCTGTTGCATTGGCAAGACGGTCCATAAACATGCTTGCTGGTATTGTCCTAGAAGGAATTAACTACTAGAAGGTACTTGCTACTGGGTTCACAACACCGTGAGAGATTCTAGAATGAAATTTTAGAACAAAGCTTGGTAACAAAGATGAATTGTACCACTCGTGCCCCAAAGTGAGAATGTGTGCTGTTTGTTCTTGCTTTATAATATGCCTGACTTTGTGCGTTTGGAAGGTGTGCTGAGGGTGGCTGATCAGGAAGGAAAACTCAGAGGGTAGGGAACTGTTATACATCCTCTTTTCTGGGCGTGTGGGTTCCCCTGTTTACAGGGGCTTCCTGCTGCTGGTGCAGATTCTGTGTGCATCCACACCAATTCATGCAGTCTGCTGACCCATGGGCCACTGAGGAAACTTAAGGGCACATGCATCTGCTGAAGCTGTGGGTGTGTGCTTGCCGTACCCCTTACAGCCAGGAATGACAGCTGAATGCCTGCCAATGGCACCCAACTCTGCTTATAGATGATCCAACCTGGCAGAGTTGCTAGGGTTTCTTGTGCCTGTCCCTGAACCAAAATGCTAGTTGGAGGCACTGGAGAGTCTTGAGTCTACTTTCGCAGACCCTCATGGTACAGACAAAAGTCAAAAAGAACAGCACAGATACAAACAAGATCAGTGGGATGTGAACAGAAGAAAATACTGCGACAGGGGTCTTGCATGACTAGAGACTGCAGGAGGAGCCACGGAATGCAGCTTCCCTCAGAGGTACTTATGGTCTACGAAGCTGAAAGCCCAAAGCTGGAAATGAAACCTTCATCAGCTTTCCTGCATAATCTCACCACACAGGGAATTAAATGCACCTCCTGTTTGAGAGCTGGCAACATGTAAAACAACATGCTGGGAGCATCAAAAGTGCCTGGTTTTAGAGGCTCTCTGTCAGGCAAACTGCCGCCTGAACTGGGATGGAAAAGACCTGAGAGGGATCCAAGCACCCACAAAGACTGGTTTTGAAGACACTGGGATCCATCAGTGATGGTCAGTGTCTAAGTACCACCTCTTAAGAGCACAGGAGAAGGCAATTCCAAAATGTTGGCAGTCAAACAGGTGGAGAAGCAGGCTAGCTTGGCTGGGCAGGGACCTTCTTCTAGAGGTTAGGTGCATAAAGAAAGTGCATGGCCACTGGAAGCAAGGTCGGGTGACATGGGAGGACTACAGAGATGCTGTTTGCTGTTGTAGGGAGAAAATTCATGGAGCCAAAGACCAATTAGAGTTGAAGCTGACCAGTACTGCAAGGGACAATAAAAAGAGTTTTGTAAGATATGCTAACAGCAAAAGGAGGACTAGACAAAACCTTGGTCTGATACTTGATGAGGATGTTCACCTCACAAACAGGGCCATAGACAAAGCAGAGGTGGAATTTGCTGCTCTAGCTGGATGCATGCAAGTCTATTGGGCTTGGTGGGACTCGTCCCCAGGGACTCGACGAGCTGGCTGACGTAATCATGAGACCTTTCTGAATCATTTTCCAATGGCCTTGGGAACCTGGAGAGGGAGGTGCCAGTTGACTGGAAGCTGACAAACGTGCCGGCTTTCAAGAAGGGCAAGAAAGGAGATCCTGATAACAACAGGCCTGAGAGTCACACCTCAGTGCCTGGTACAATTATGGAGAAGTTATTCTGGGAGTTACTGAAAACAACCTGAAAGACAATGAAGACGTTGGTCACAGCAAACAAGGGTTCAAGAGGGGAATGTCCCACTAAATGAAGTGAATTTCCTTTTATTACAAGGTCACCCAGGTAGATGACCAAGGGAAGCCAGTTGATGTAATCTTGTTAGTTGTCAGAAAAGCTGTCAAGACTGTTTCTCACAGTATGCTTCTGGACTAAATATACAGCCTCTGGCTAGAAAAATACATAGTACAAGGGCTGATGGGTTGGGCACAAAGAGTTAGAGTAAATGGGGTTACATCAGGCTGGTGGCACAGTGGAGCAGGTGGACCTGGACTGAAGGAGGCTGTGGCCTGTGGAGGGCCCCTGCCAGAGCAGATTCCAGGCCAGACCTGTAGCCCTTGGAGAGGAGGCCACGCAGGAGCAGGTGACCTGGCAGGAGCTGCTGCCTGTAGGGGACCTGTGCTGGAACAGTGTGCTCCTGAGAGATGTGCTCTGTGGTAGAGACACATGTTGGAGCAGTCCTTGAAGAGCTGCTGCCTGTGGGAAGCCCACGCAGGATCAGGTTGGGAAGGATGGCATCCCGTGGGAGGGAACCCACAGGGAGCAGGGGCAGAGAATGACTGAGAACAAGAGCTGGAGACAAAGCGCTAGGGACTGGCCACAGCTCCCATTCCCCATTCCTCTGCACCACTCGGGGGGGAGGAGGTTGGAGAAGGTGCATTGGGGGAAGGCATTTTTGGTTTAATTCCTTTGTTTCTTACTTCTCTAGCTTGTTAGTAATAGGCAATAAATCTTACTATCTCCCTACTCTGAGTCTGTTTTGCCTGTCATGATAATTGTTGAGTGATCTCCCCATCGTTATCTGAATCCTTGAACCTTTTGCGTCGTATTTTCTCCCCCTTCCCTTTGAGGAGGGGAAGTAAGAGAACAGCTGTGGTTGAGCTTGGATCCCCACCCAAGTAAAATCACCACAACACAATGAAAGTTGTGTAGACTTAAAGGAACATACCTTATATACAGAGTCAGGAATTTAACATTAGTCTTATTAGTGTCTTCACAGGGTAATTACAATACCGTAGAAATATGCACCCCGTTAAAATGATACTAACATATATAATACAAATTATTCAATTATTGCAAAATCCTGGTAATGGTACAGTTGAAATGAACACACATGGACACAAGTATCTAACCATTTCACCATTGTTGGGTTATGCTGTTCCGTGCTAGTCTTTTAGAAGAGATGGTTTGCAGTGAGTCGTCCTGAGTTCTTTGCTAGGAGGAATTCAATGGAGGGGAGGAGGGGGTAGTTCTTCCTCCTTGCTCTTAGGTCCTCTTTGGGTTATTTTTATACTTCTTAAGAAGTCTGTTTTTTACTGACCCATGGGTCAGTTACACAGTGACTACTTAGTAGTGTTTGACCTCTACTATATCTGATAAATTTACAGAATCAGTGTTACGCGATAAGAGATAGGCCTCCCAACCTTCTCCTGACACTTACAAAATCCTGCAGGTACATCTAAAATAGACCTATGAATACTCAGAACAGTTACTGGTGAGTCCTGAGCTATTAAATTAGTACAAGGCCTGTGGCTTACCACTAGCAATAGCAACAAGACATTTGCTGGGCAACAGAGAAGACAGAACCACTCCCAGAACATCAAGTATCCAGTGCTGAATAATTAGACAGATCCATGCTTTCACAAGGCTGAGGGTTTAGGCATACATGTTCTGGCATAAGTAAGGCAGTCTCATTGCATCCCCATTCATCTTCATGACCATGATAGATAACTGTCCATTTGTAATGCTACCTCTGGGGCTACACCGGTGTAACAGGTTCTACATCTCTCTCCACCTATCCAGACAAAGAAACTAACCAACATGGTAAAGCTGTGTTTACAGATATATATATATATATTAATCTAGTCATACACCCAGTGCCACTTTCTTACATAAGCTGACCTAGCAATATACTGGGTGCCTTCCTGTGTCAAGGGGACATGGCAGAGACCTAGTGATATGGGTAGAAGAAATAAAGTGCTGTTGCAAATCTATCCCAGGCAGGAGTAACTAGAAACTCTAAACATTTAATATTTGCTTCTTACAACCCCAGTGAAGTGACTAGCTAATCTAAAACCCTTTCCCAAGAATCTAAGAATACATTGGCCACCATGCACGTTTTTCTGTTGGCAGTTTCAGCTGAATGTCAGGGTCCGAAGTGCACCAGTGGTTGCTGTGGAGAGGACCAGGAGACCAAAGCCGTCTCTACGTTAAGTGCACTCCTGCTCATTTGGAATCAGGGGGCCTGTGAGTGTATGAGATGTGGCCATTTCTGGACTTGGATTTACAGATACAACCATGTGTTTCAGTTGGGAGGAACCAACAGCAGGTTGCTTCACATGGAATTTGCTCTGACATGCCTAATCATTTGTTATGTTTTAAGCCACCTGGCACCCTATTGACACTGCTATTGTCCCCTGTTACAGGCATCAAGCATTTCCTCCCTCTCAGTGCACAGAAGTTTGGTGGGTGCCTGACTTAACTACATCCTGGAACCT